CGAGTTTACGAGCACTTTCAACAACTCTCACACTAACCCTAACGACGACTAGCATGTTAACAGCGCACATACTGACGCTTCGGAATCAGAAATCAAGACGCTTCGCAGACGATTTGTTTTGCCCTCGGGAGCTGCTCACACGAAAATATCTGTACCGAGGCTCAAATGCGCCGAGAAAAAAATCGGGTTTAGGGGCTTAAACTTTTCTATCGTCATGGAAACCAAACCGGACCAAGTTCCAGGTCAGATCTGCGGAGAGGCGACCCCGCTCACAGTCAGAATGTTTGGGTTTTTTTTGAGCGATTTTTGACTCTAAAACCACCCGGAATCGAATAAAATTAAACCCTCCACCAGAAAAGTTACGCAATGCGGCTTTAACGTAGATTTCTGACGATGATTTTGAATTCAAATTTTTTGTATGACTCAAAACTGAAAATGTGGAAAGGTACCTGCAAAAGGAAACGTGTTTTTTTAACGTGACGAAACTGGGACTGAAACTCGGATTTTCTATTTTTGTCCAACGTTTTTCGACACTGCCCACGTCCGGAATTCACTTTTCCGAGAACGTTTAAGCTTCTTTTTCAAACTGGTATTTACGTAGGAATTCCCGACACTTTAAAAAAAAATTTTTGGATTATTTGTCGGAACTTTGACGGACTTTTTGTTTCGTGGGACCAAACATTTCAGCTTTTCACCGGAATTTCTTCAACCTTCTTCAGCGTTTCCAGGTGATGTTATTGTTTTTTTCTGGAATGTTCCGCAGTGTAAATGAACTTAAAACCACCTGGAAATGAATTAATCTAAACCCTCCACCTGAAAAGTTACACAATGCGGCTTTAACGTAGATTTCCGACGACGATTTCTTGGTTTGTCGGAAGTAAAATTTTTGAAGATTCGGAACGGTACCTGCAATACGGAAATGTTTTTGTGTTTGGAATTCAGTTTTCCGAGAACTGTTTAAGCTTCTTTTTGAAACTGGTATTTTCGTAGGAATTCCTGATAAATTTTTTTTTTTTTTTTTTTTTTGGGTTTTTTTTTATCATTTGTCGGAAAACTTTTCAACTGAACTTTTCGTGGGACCAAACATTTCAGATTTACACCGGAATTTCTTCAACTTTCTTCAACGTTTCCACCTGTTTGTCTCCACGGAGATGTTGTTGCTCGGTCTAGAATGTTCCGCAGTGTGGCATTACACCCGTTCATCACCGGGGAGACGAGCAGGTCACAGCACTACGCCGCATCACAGGTCAGATCTGCGGAGAGGCGAGTCCGCTCACGCAAGGAATTATCGTACTTTTGAGCAACAGAAAAACCCGTGATGTTTAAAAGCTCGGTGGAAATGTTTAAAGTCACACCAGGGAACATTCCAGGCAGCGCGGTCACGTCTCCATGGCGACAGGGAGCAGGTACCGGACCCTGCACCAGAAAAGTTGCACCTTTAAGGATAAAAATGAACTTTTTAAAGGGAGACTGTCACGTTAATTTTGTTGCTGTTGTGATTTCTTCTGCACATTTTTCACAATTTTCTCTGAATCTCTGGACTGAGTTTAATGAAATATTGTGTTTTGTTTCTTAAATACTGGATTTTTTCTTTATAATTTGCTCTGTTCTACGTCACAAACCAGAAAGACGTTTGGAAACATGAGGTTAAAACTTCCTTTGGGTTTTGTATGTGACCGTAAGTCTGACAAAAGCTAAGAAAAATGAGAAAATCTCTCCGTTTTCTACATGTCCATGTCATTATAGAAGTGTTTTAGTCAAGAGCGCAAGAGTCGAGACCAAGACCAGACCAAGACCAGACCGAGACCACAGGGTCCCGAGACCAGGACAAGATCAAGACCTCTGAGGGTCGAGACTGAGACAAGTCCCAGACTTTTAAAGGTTGAGACTAAGACAAGACCGGGACAAGACCGGGACAAGACCGGGACAAGACCGGACAAGACCGGGACCTCTGAAGGCCAAGACCAAGACTTTTAAAAGTCGAGACTGAGATGAGACTGAGACAAGACCGAGACTTTTAAAGGTTGAGACTAAGACAAGACCGGGACAAGACCGGGACAAGACCGGGACAGAGACCGACAAGACAAGACCGAGGACAAGACCGAGACAAGACCGAGACGAGAACAAGACCGACAAAGACCGAGGACAAGACCGGGACAAGACCGGACAAGACCGAGACCGAAAGACCGAGACCAAGACCAAGACCGAGAGACCTCTGAGACCGAGTCTGAGGCTTGAGGCTGAGTCAAGACCAAGACGAGACAGAGACAAATCCAAAACTTTTAAATGTCGAGACTGAGACGAGACCGAGTCCAAATGCGCTCGAGATGAGACCAAGACCGTGAAAAACCGTTTTGAGGCCGGTCTCGAGTACGACGAGACGACATTGTAGAGTTCCGTTATGTTCGGCTCATCAACATTTCCAACCATCTTTCAGTTTTCCTCATTTCCGCGGCGACACACGACTGGGAACGTGTGACTAGAAGAGACGAGATGATTCCAAACACCACATACGTCTTCGGTCTTTATTTTACCGCTGAGCACATTTCCTTCAGTGGGTTTGATTTCACAGTCGCTCGAGCCCAGAGTCGGGAACCACGCCGGACGTTTCACCGCTTGTTTCCAAACGTCGTCGTGGTTTGTGACGTCAGCGTGAGTCGAGTTTGTCGCTAAAACGTTTTGATGTTTGAGGATTTCTGAAAACAGGACTGCAGAGGTTAAGGAACGGTCTTTCTTGATCTTGTATTTTTCACGATTCTGCTTTTATTCACACATGACCAGATGAAAATTTGGACTTTCCCGGGTAAAAAAAGGGACGTCTGGTCACTCTGTTTTTGTTGAAAATCAAACTCTTAAACGGTTTTGGAACCAATCTAATCCCTGCCAACAGTAAAATACAAAAAAATCTGCTTAAAAAACGACCAAAACACAAAGAAAATGTGACGATACTGACTCATGTTCGTCATGAATGAGCCGTGTGCAGCACAGTTTTGTTTATATTATAACCAAAAAATAAAAAAAACAAGATCGTCCCAGTTTTTTATTTTGAAAATCTTTAAACTCTCGCGAAAACGTGCCTCTTTAAATCACTTTACGTTTAAGTTTTCGGACGATCTTTAAACTTCTCCGGCTGCGTTTTGCTCGTGTGTCTCCATGGCAACTGCTGAACATTCCGCCCTAGACATGCATGCAGAACCCAGCGCAAAGTAGTAAATTTCACAGCAAAGTATGAGTCGTTCCTGCCCCTTAGTGGTCAGGAGTGGAAGTACAAGCCTCTTTGTGAAAACGTAAACTTTTGGTTTCGGTTTCATGTTTGTTTTTCGTAATTCTGAGTATGAATTTCAGATGTTTTCCTGATCCGTGAATTCCAATTAAGAACGAAAAACAATAAAATGTGTAAACAGTTTGACACTAAAACGGAAAAATGAAAAAAACAAAAAACAGATTTTCCCTCAATATTTAATTTAAAGTTTATTTCAGATAACACTAATTAAAAACAGAATAAAATATCAAAATTAAAACAGGCACCGAGACAATAAACTTTAAATTAAATATTGGAAATCGAGGTCGGAATCTGTTTTTTGTTTGACACTAAAACGGAAAAATTAAAAAAGCAAAAAACAGATTTCGACCTTTTTTTTCCCGAATATTTAATTTAAAGTTGATTTCATATAACACCAATTAAAAACAGAATAAAATATCAAAATTAAAATAGGCACAGAGACAATAAACTTTAAATTAAATATTGGAAATTGAGGTCAGAATCTGTTTTTTTTTTGTTTTTTTTGACACTAAAACTGTTTTCACATTTTATTGTTTTTTGTTTCTCTGTTATTGTTAGTAACATTTTTAAAGTTTGGTTTTGTTTCGGGTTCATTCAAGTTTCATTCCTGTTTTTGAACAACAGTATTTTGGTCGTTAAGAGTAAAAAAATAAAAAAAAGGTTCCGTATTATGTAATTTTCAGATTTGTTCTAATGTTTCCTCATCACAAACCGACCTGGAGTTGTGTTTTTTTGTTGTTTTTTTTGTTTCATTCGCACAAACACTCCAACGCTCCAACTTGTGATGTCATCATGTGGTGATACAGGAAGCGCTCCACTGTGTTTTTAAACTCCACACACCTTCACTAGAATCACCTGGATCATTTCAGTCCAGGATTTGTGGAAGATCATTCGTTCCGTCAGATTTAGAAATTTAAATACCGCTTTGAATTTTTTGTTTAACTCTTGGGATTATTTTTATTCAGAATTTTAGTGGTTAAATTGTAAGTGTTTGTCAAAGTGAAAACATTCGAGCTGGTGAAAATGTGCACTTAAAATTTCAGCGACTAAAATTCAGAATAAAAATAATTCAAACTTGTTTTTTCAGAGTTAAAAAATTCAAAGCAGTATTTAAAATTCAAAATGTAATGGAACAAATGTATCTTTCATATGGAAGTGCCGATCGCTACTGAACTAAAAAGGAGCTGTTCACTTGAAAACGACCACTTCATGACATCACAAGTTGGAACAGACCCTTTGGAGCTTTGGATAAAGATTTACTCAAACATTTAACTGAAACAAACACAACTCCAGCTCTAAATGTGAACAGGAACATTAGAACACGACTTAAACGTCACAGGAGTCTGTTCTGCGTAATATTTAACCTTTACATTTTTCACTAATTCAGTCTGAAGTTCACAAAAATTAAATATTTGTATTTTTAAAACACGACGTCAAACCATTTCAAGACACTGTTCCGTTTAAATGAGAATAATCTGATGTTGTTGTTGTTGTACGTGTGTGTGTTTCTGTAAAGACATGATGAAAACACTGTGGCGTCACTTTATACTGCAAATAAAATGTTCCGCAATGTGCTTTAACTTTATATTTTCTGCTGTTTTCATTTGACGCGTGACTTTCCTCGGGTCCGTACGGTGCCTGAGATGTTCCAGAGTGAAGCATTAAAGGGACCGAGTTACACCAACTCCAACCCTTCTGATGATGTGATGTTTTCCCATCAGAAAAACTTCTTCCCTAAACCTAAAAACTGGTGAGGGTCCGGACGTGTGAAGGTGTGGACGTGTGAAGGTGGTGGACGTGTGAAGGTGTGGACGTGTGAAGGTGTGGACGTGTGAAGGTGGTGGACGTGTGAAGGTGGTGGACGTGTGAAGGTGTGGACGTGTGAAGGTGTGGACGTGTGAAGGTGGTGGACGTGTGAAGGTGTGGACGTGTGAAGGTGTGGACGTGTGAAGGTGGTGGACGTGTGAAGGTGTGGACGTGTGAAGGTGTGGACGTGTGAAGTGTGGACGTGTGAAGTGGTGGACGTGTGAAGGTGTGTGGACGTGTGAAGGTGACGTGTGAAGGTGGTGGACGTGTGAAGGTGTGGACGTGTGTGGACGTGTTGGACGTGTGAAGGTGTGGACGTGTGAAGGTGTGGTGACGTGTGAAGTGTGGACGTGTGACGTGTTGAAGGTGTGGACGTGTGAAGGTGGTGACGTGTGAAGGTGGTGACGTGTGAAGGTGTGGACGTGTGAAGGTGTGGACGTGTGGAACGTGTGGACGTGTGAAGGTGGTGGACGTGTGAAGGTGTGTGGACGTGTGGACGGTGGTGGACGTGTGAAGGTGTGGACGTGTGAAGTGTGGACGTGTGAAGGTGTGGACGTGTGGACGTGTGTGGACGTGTGACGGTGTGACGTGTGAAGGTGTGGACGTGTGAAGGTGTGGACGTGTGGACGTCTGTGGACGTGTTGGACTCGTGTGGACGTGTTGGACTCTTGTGGACGTGTTGGACTTGTGTGGACGTGTTGGACTCTTGTGGACGTGGTGCGGGTGTGGACTCGCGGAGGTGTGGACTCGTGGACATGGTGGATGTGCTGGACATGTTGGACACTTGTGGACGTGTTGGACTCTTGTGAAAGTGTTGGACTCTTGTGAAAGTGTTGGACTCGTGTGGACGTGGTGGATGTGGACTTGTGAAGGTGTGGACATGGTGGACGTGTTGGACTCTTGTGGACGTGTTGGACTCTTGTGGACGTGTTGGACATGTGGACTTGTGGACGTGTTGGACTCGTGTGGACATGTGGACAAGTTTGAGCAGAGCGTTTGGAGGTTTGTAGATGTAGAACAACATTAGAACACGTCTCAAAGTCCAGTTTGTCGGAGCTTTAAGTGACAGATCATAAACACACAGAAGAATAAAACACAGAAATCGTTTGTGTTTCGATGCCGTTCACGTTTTATTTTCACAGTTTTCTTTTTTCAAAATCCACTTTCTGCAAACGTCCTTCACAGACACACAACTGCGATCGGCTTTATTAAAACATCGTCACCCTAAAACACTGGTCACTTCTGTCCTACACGAACAGAACCACAAACAGAACTACTGCCCCAAAGTTCAGATTCTAGGACAAAACCTCCCGAAATACTAGTTGAGTTCTTCTGAAAGTCTTAGTCTAGATCTTTTTCACGACGGCCGGAAGTCTCACGCTGGAGGTTTGTGGAACTTCTGGTTCATGTTTTTCTGTGTCGTATTCTCCAGCAGCTTCATAAATCTTCAACCGACAAACTCCACGAAGGATAAACATTCTTCACGAACAATTTATCCACAAGAGAAGAAAGACCAAAACTTGTTAAAAAAAAAATGTAGAATGAGTCTGAATCAACAAGTTCCTTCCGTTTTCTTCCTGAGTATAACATTATTTTTCTCAGTAGTTTTAGTTTTGAGTCTCGTTTTCGGGACGATGAGTTGGATCCGTCGGACCTCGGAGCGTTTGAGGGAACACTGAGGTCCGAGATGTTCGTTGGGGTCGGTCCGCGAAGAGCTTTAAAAACAAACAACATTTTAAAATCAACTCGAAAACGAACGTGGAGCCGGTGCAACGAGGAGTAAACAGGTGTGTTTCTCGACGACGTGCTGCAGAAGTTTGGACTCATTTTGACAGAATGACGCAAGTTCAAGTGACTGATTTAGAATCTACTACTAGAACTGAGCAAAATTAATGTTATGGTCCTAGAAATGTCTGCGTCTGTGCAAATATCCACATCGTGAAATCGACTTTTCATTTTAATTGTAGAATGAACAAGTTCCTTCTGTGTGCTCGTCGTTCTCCTTTACACCGTAAGTTTCTCTGACCTGGCCAAGATTTTCAAACTTTTATCACGTTCTTCATCTTGTTTTCAGATTTATTGTCGACTTCTTTGTTTTGAGACGCGTCTTTCTAATCTAGCTGTTGTTTATTTTAAGAGAACTTGTCCGGTAAAATCATCTCGCCGCACGGACAACTGATGCATTATTATTGTTTGCAAACGGGGAATAAGTCCATTTTTGTTGTAAAATCCTGCACTCGGCTCCACTTTTCTCATGTTGGACATTTTTCTGATGAGGGTGTCACGGTCAACAGTCAAAACGATCGTCCTTTAAGAGCGTTTGGAAAGAGACAAGTCTTCATTTGTGCTGCTCTGGTGGGAGGGGCCACGTACAGAGACGCTGGAGACGCTGCTGTGATAAACACCACAGAAAATTAACACCATTTTAATAGAAAATATCATTAAAATATTTGAGTAGAAAATCAGCCGAGGGCCAGATTAAAGGTGTTGAAGGGCCGGATCTGGTTCACGGGCCGGATGTTTGACACCCCTGGTTTAGATTTTACATTTTGGCCAAGATTTTTTGCAGTGTAAGTTTTGGTCTTGACAACGGAGTTTAAGGGTCAGATCAAAAAAAATTTTTTTAAATGCTGGCGCTTCGAGAATAAAGTCGTAACATTTCGACATTAAAGTCTTAATTTTATGAGAATAAAGTCGTAGTTAAAATAAAGTGTTAATATCAGGAGAACATCAGCGACTCGTGGAGAATTTGGAGCATTTTGTAAAAGAGAAGAATCTGTGTATCAAGGACTAAACCAGGACTAAACCAGGTCCGGAACCAAACCAGAAAGACCAGGATTGAGACCGGGACCAGACCAGGACTGAAAACGGTTTAGTCCTGGTTTAGTCCTGGTTTAAGTCACGGAAATGGGAAATGGTGTTTCCATGAATTTAAAATGTGATGCGGGACTGAACCAGGACTAAACCGTTTTCAGTCCTGGTCTGGTCCCGGTCTCAGTCCCAGTCTCAATCCTGGTCTTAGTTCTTGTCTGATCCCGGTCTCAGTCTTGGTCCCTGACTCAGTCCTGGTCTAAGTCCTGGTCTCAGTCCCGGTCTGGTCTTGGACCTGGTTTAGTCCTGGTTCAGTCCTGTTTAGTCCTGGTTCAGTCCTGGTTCAGTCCGGAGGCGCAAATAATGAAGAAAATTGTTGTTCGTTTTCTTATTTTTGGTTTTATATTGAAAAACAAGGTTTTTCTTCTGCCACATTTTTCACTTTGACTTTGATTTTATTACAACTTTAATGTTGAAATGTTACGACTTTATTCTCGAAACACCAGCATGTTTTTTATTTTATTTTGTCTGACCCTTATGCTCCGTCGTTGGTTCTTTCTTCTCCTGACGGTTGTGGATAAATTGTTCATGAAGAATATTTATCCTTTGTGGAGTTTGTTGGTTGAAGATTTGGTGATTTATGAAGCTGCTGGAGAATAAAACACATTTACACAGGAAAACCATGAACCGGGAGTTCAGTAAACCTACATCGGACACTTCAGGACCTTGTGAAAAAGTTCTACTGCAAAAGTCTCTTCAAACCTCAGAATGATTGTTTGTGGATTGTGAAATGATCTGGACTTTCACTCTCGCTGCATTTCAAACACACACACACGAAGGCAGAGACGGTGCAGCCGCCGGGAAAAAACACGTTTCATTAGAAATATTATGAATTAAAACGTCGTATCTTACGTGAAACTGAATGTCGCGAGCTTTTCGTCTGATGTTCTGATGTTCCTCGTCACAGTCGCAGCTGGAGTCAGAGGAAACGACGTTAGAACAGATCAGAGAAAAGAGTGAATCTAGAACATTTCAAACGATTGTCTTTAATAAAACCCTGTTTGTTTTTATTCATTTACCCTTTTACCCTTTTACCTTTAGGCACCGCGGACGACTTCACAACAGTTTTAACGACGTAGACTTTTAAAGACCGAGACCGAGACTTTTAAAAGACCGAGACTTTTAAAAGACCGAGACTTTTAAAAGACCGAGACCGAGACAAGATCAAGACCGAGACTTTTAAAGACCGAGACTTTTAAAGACCAGAGACTTTTAAAGACGGAGACTTTTAAAGACGAGAGACACTTTTAAAGACGAGAGACTTTTAAAGACCGAGACTTTTAAAGACCGAGACTTTTAAAGACCGAGACAAGACCGAGACTTTTAAAGACCGAGACCGAGACTTTTAAAGACCGAGACTTTTAAAAAGACCGAGACTTTTAACAAGACGACCGAGACAAGACCGAGACTTTTTAAAAGACCGAGACTTTTTTAAAGACCGAGTCCGAGACAAGACCAAGACCACAAAGAAACAGTCTCAAGGTCAGTATCGAGACCAAAACTGGTCTCAACCAATCAAAAAACAGTCATCGTGCCCATTTCAGTTTTGATTTTTGATTCTCTCAGATTTATTTACCTCAGAGTTTCTGCTGCTTCTCGTTTCTCGTCGTGGATCAACAACGACACTAAACGCGTCGCTGTAAAAGACGACGACACGATCGTCCACAAAACTCAGGTTTGTCCTTCAGCAGAACTTCAAATAAACCAGAGAGAATAAAATATCGAAATTAAAACAGTTTTGTGATAAACTTTAAATTAAATATTAGAAATCGAGATCGAAATCTGCGTTTTTGTTTGACACTAAAACAGAAAAATGAAAAAAAAAAAAAATGTTTTCGGATTTTATTGTTTTTCATTCCTGATTGAAATTCAAATCACGAATATTACACGGACTTTTTCACGTAAACTCGACACATTTGCAGCTTTCTGGTCAAGTAGAGTAGTTGGTGACATCACTCAGCACTGCCCCGATCACAGATACAAGTGTTTTTAGTTTAATTTTAGTCGTTTATTTCCTCTTTAAAACATCCTTAAACATTAAAACGATTCAGTCTGGACCCGGGCGGCTGCACACTTCCAGGTTTGGCTTAAAGCAAAGAGAAATCATTAAGACTTGTGGGTATAAAGGTCAAAGGTCACGCCGCGGATTGGGTCGAGGCTACGGAAGTAAAAACCGAAGATAAAGACGCGACAGTTTGGCCGAGTTTGTTTTTTTTTTGTTTTTTTCGTACTGTAAGTGTTTTAAGATCGACAAGGTGCTAAGAAAAAAAGACCGTGTGAGGATTTTTCGTTTTAGTCCCAATCGGCGGCGAAGGTTCAAGGCCATGAAGAAACAGGTTCAAAGGTCGTAACACGTTTATCAAACTCAACTAAAAACTCAACTTTCACACCTATGTACACGTACACACACACACACACACACACACACACACACACACACACACACACACACACACACACACACTTCATGTTGTATTAGTATTAGAATCACCAGACAGGACGGCGGATGGCGGATGGAGCGATATGATTTGTCGAAAAACCTTTTTAAGTCGTCACATCTTCAGCAAATTACCAAAAAAAAAAAAAAAAACCTGTGCGAAAATCTTTAGTCTTTAAGCGTCATCGTCTTTTAAAATAAATTAAACAACAATTAAACAACTTGGAGCTGCGCAGTTTTAACGCTCGTCGAGGAGCAGAACGAAGGATAAACGTTCAACAGTGAAGAATTTATCCAAGAATATTTAAAAAAAAACGATTTTCTTCATTATTTGGCTCCAAAACCAAAATGATAAAAGAGATAATGAACTAAACCAGGACTAAACCAGGACTAAACCAGGTCTAAACCAGGACTAACAGGACTAAACCAGGACTAAACCAGGACTAAACCAGGACTAAACCAGGACTCTAAACCAGGACTAAACCAGGTCTAAACCAGGACTAAACCAGGTCTAAACCAGGTCTAAACCAGGTCTAAACCAGGACTAACCAGGACTAAACCAGGACTAAACCAGGTCTAAACCAGGACTAAACCAGGACTAAACCAGGTCTAAACCAGGACTAAACCAAACCAGTCTAAACCAGACTAAAGGACTAAACCAGGTC